ACTTATGCCATGATGAGGATTATAATGGGGGGTATCTCGTACTCTTCTGTCATCTTCATGGTGAACTGTTCACTCTTGTTAATGTGTACAATCACAATGATGACAAAGAAATGCTGAACAGACTGCAGGAATACCTGAGGGAAGTGTCAGGGGCTGGCGTCTGGGGTTCTCCCTCTCACCACCAGAGGTCGCCATCTCCCATCCTCCCGGACTCTTTCTCCGTCACCTTGACACCACACACCTGGGCACCCACTCACACACACACACAGCTGTCGCCCATCCGGGACTCCATCACCTGCACTCCACACACCTGTGCACACACTCACTCTCACACAGCTGTGGCCCGTCACGAGGACTATTTAGGCGCCTTCCCCACGCCACTCGGGGTCGGATGATTAATGTTGGTAATGTTTGTTTCGGTGACTGATGCCAGCCCTACGTGGCCGTATGGTGTCAGAGTCTTCTGTTCCTTGCCTGTGTCTCAGAGTCTCAGCTCTGTTTATGTTTATGTTTTTACTTTGTTTTCCCCAGCAGTGAAATAAAGCCTGCATTTGGACCCTAACCCACGTTCACACGGTGTGATTCCTGACCGCGCCGTGACAAAAACACACTCTTCCTCGAGTGTTTTCCATCAACATTTGACATTTTTAATCTCAAAAGCTAGAACGACTGTTTATACAGCACACGGTTTTCCATTTTGTTTTTTCCATGACAGAGATATTTTAACACTGCATCGTTTTACACTGTACATGTTTGACGTCACAAAGCCGGGTTAATATCAAACTGTGATGCTCAATATATTGTTTACTAAAATGTAGTTTTGTGAAGGAGGGGGTATAGGCCTATATTTGATGACACCAGCAGTATTTACAGTTTTTTAACCTTTTAAACATTCACAGCTCACCTGTCTGTCCTGGAATATAGATGGGTTTATCAGTCTGGATAAATGTCAGAGGATGGTAAGATCTGAACATGACTTTTCTCTCTTCAGTCATCTTGAAAGACTCTCCTTGAAGTTCTACCTTCATTCTCTGCACTGATTCTGCTTCTACCAGAGGAGCCTGATGAGAAATAATATCCTGTATTCACAACCTCTGCAAACAGGCCATCTCAAAAACCTAGATGTATTATGATGAAACAAACATATTTGAATATATTTATAATAATGTGCTGATGACAGACCTTGAAGTTAAAGCAGCGGTGAAACTCTTCCTCAGCTTTCTCCTGCAGCATTAAAGTGCTCTGGTCACCATGAACCACATAAATGTTCATGACAAGGCTTTCATTGGGCTTGAGAAGACTTGCACAAAGTTTGGCCTCAGATCCCGACTCGATCACTGCAGGAAATGTCACCGTGAAAGATCTGTAAAGATATAATAAGGCATTCAATCATTTAAGTAGTAAGATATCTTTTTTTTTTTTACATTTTCATGAAATGCTGAAATGGATTTTATTGCAAAACATCAAAGTTAATGTGTTGATGTAGTTGCCCCTTTTTAAAATGAGAAAAAGTGACAGACGATTTATATAGAAATTAAAACGAATAGAAACGCTTAGTTACTTACGGCCCTGACGTTTGTCCATTGACACAGACAAGAAGGAGAGGGAACAGAAGGAGCCATTTCCAACAGCAGCTAATGTTCAGATCCATGATGACGAGTGATCAACCAGGTCTTGACATGAACTGAGCCGTCTCTTATAAAGGGAGTCTCATGCTAAAGGTGGTCCTTCAAAAACATTTGTATTGATTATTTGATTAATGATTCAACCATGTAGGCAATACCGTTTGAAAACCTCTACAATATTAGCACTACTAAAGCCTAAAAAATACATCTGTGCTACAGCAAATATTAAAAGTATTATTTATGCAGTAAAATATAGATGACAGATTATGCAATAATAACTTATACAGATATTTACAAAACATATTTTACAGTTTAACAACTCACAGTTTACAATGATTTTATGCTGCCATTATACGAGGAAATGTATATTTATTTTTATATTGTATTTTATATTGTTTTTAGTCATTCACAGCCTATAGAAAATGGTAAAATATACACATCATCTGAACAAACTATACACACACACAAAATACCCCTAGGGCTTCTGAACTCTTTCCAATGTCAACAAACAATACTGAAATCAAGGGTCAAGAATCACCTACACCCACTCAGAGTAAATGTTTCTTCATATCTGCAAATCCTTTGACCCCTTCTAATATGGCTTCTGAAACCTCAGCTCATTAAAATTTATAAATCTGTTAATACTCAAGATTCTACACCATGAAGATTTTTCCATGTTTGTTTGTTTTCTGTCTAGGATCTTATGTGTAACATTGGGATGGATATGCAGATTGGCAGATGCCACACAAAGACAGGAAAATCGCAAGGTTTGACAAACCTTCTCATATATTATTGTGAGTCCTTTTGGTTTTTAGGAATAATAGTATTCTCCTTATTACTTGAGAGTGATGGGATGAGAAGTTTCAATGGAAGTCTGCCTCCACCAATGAATAAAAAAAACAGTAAGATAATTGTGAATTTTATCTCACATTCTCACTTTTTTCTTTCATTACTAATTTTTTTCAGAATTGTGTGATATAAACTCACAATTGCAAATTACAAAGTCAGAATTGTGAGATGAAAACTCTCCATAAAGTTAGAACTGCATGACAGAAACTCACGATTCTCGCAATTGACTTTATTTCTCAGAATTGCATGTCAAAATTCAGAGAAAAAGGTCAGAATTGCGAGATGTAAACTTGCATTTGTGAGAGAAAAGTCAGAATTGTGAGATTTAAAAAAATCACAATTACCTTTTTTATTATTTTATTCAAATATTCTAGAGCAGGAGGACCTACAATGGTCATAAATGGCATCATACAGTGTTTTAAGAAGATTAAAACGCATAGCTGAGATAGAACAACTTTTCACAAGGTATTGTAAGAAACTACAGACTGCCCCAAATCAAATTTCATGTAATAATAGATGTTCAATCATGCTTATTTCCCAAAATGGCTTAATTATTATAGAGAAGAAGAAAGTCAGTCATGTTGTTTCTAGATCATTTGGGATGATCTCATCCTAAGCAAATGGTGACCAATTGTAGAATGGGAATAGGTGTGGGACACCGAGAATCATCTCAGACAATGGGGTGTCAGAACTTCATTAACATACAGACCACAGCTGTTACGACAGGAGCAACTTCATTTACATTAAGGGTAGTAAACTGTAACTGTATAAAACAATGGTTTGAGTTTAGGATGCTAGGGGTTCGTTCTGAATCTGTTGAATCCAAGTATCAGCTGTGAATCCAGATAAGAGTTTAATATCCACAACGACCATGTTAATCCTTTCACATCTGGAAAAGAGCAAATAGAAAGGAAAAGTTTCCTAAATGTCTCATAAAGTAACAAAATAAGTAGAAATAAATGAGAAAAAAGCCAGGACAATTCACAAAACACATGCAGTTTATATTACAATGTGTTAATAACAAAGTGTCTTTTAGGTTAGTGTTTAGCGTTGCTGTGTTTCAATACATATTGATATTATATTTATGATGTTAAAAATATTCAGGAAATATGTATTTATAAGTGAATCTTAAGTATGAAGTTTTTATTTTGTACTGTTCTTTGAGGTCCACTTATGATGTTATCAAGATTTTTGCATCAAAAAACATCATTTAGAAGTACTAGGCTATTTTCTGTCCTGTTTTAAGCCCCCTCATCAGAACTCTCTGTTTGAATAGGTTTGGTGGATTGTAAACTTGGAACTAAACGCTCACTGCCATGATTGGCTAACATTTGTGTATGTTTGACAGTGTACGTCCTAAAATGCATAAATACCAAATCAAACAAACTGTTCAACAGACAAAGCAATAGTAATCACGTAATAAAAACAGTCAATCACACTGTAATGTTGGATCCAAAATAGCCGGCACAGTATTGTCCTTTAGTTTTCCCTTCATTGTCCTCTTAGTTTTCTCAGTTCATGACCCCTTTAAGTCATAATCATTCTCTAGTCTTTTGACTTCAAGTTTGTTCTTAAGTACTTCACAGTGAAGTTGAAAATTCAATTTTGTCCCAGTGATCTTTGCAATCTCCCTCAATCTTAGCATCAATGCTCAATGTTTTAGTTTCAGTAGGAGTGGGATTGATGTAGAACTGAGCGACCTGAGATAGTCAACATGAACAAACAAAAAAAATGAATCATATCATAGCAGAACAGCCATAAAATGCTAAGAGAGGAAAGAGGAAAAGTGAGTGTGAGTCAATAAAGCTGAACGCACTACAGACCTGCACAGACACACAGGCTGAGCCCTTCGCTTCAATGCTGTATTTGGCTGGAACGTTCTGCAGCTGCTTCTCCTGGTACAGTAACTTGTTGTCCTGATTGACATCAAAGTGGTGAGTGTCTGCTGCTGACTGTACAGTCACTGTGCTGGAGCCGTCAGAGCTGAACACTTTGTTTAAAACACCAGCTTAAACCAGCTCATGACCAGCTTAAACCAGCTCAAACCAGCAGCCATGCTTCAAAACATACCTAACCAGCATATGCTGTTTATTTTTCAACAGGGACATATCAGTCATCAGCAGAGAAACACTATGATGCTAAATTTTGTCTGCAGACAAAACCTTTGGACACAGTAACCAGCTGTAGGTCTCTGTCTTCTCAGTTCCTTCAGCCTGCAGAATAAAACAGTAACATCAACACATCATACTGACATAAGCAGCATTAGGATCATGGAGAAATTACGTCTAAGAGCCATTTGACGTGCGCTGACCTGTACAAGCAGACTCCGTGTGACTGTGTCAATGCGTCCTCTCTCTGGCACGCTCACAATCTCATTGTCACACACAGTCTGGGACGCCTCTGCCTCTGCATTGACTGTAATATTCAAGACTCCTACAACACAAGACATGTACGTGAATATACAACAGACACAAACACTGAGAAACAATGATTCAGACAGGAAAACTCACCGAGAACAGGAGGAGTGAGGATCCATTAAAAGGTTTTTCTTCCATTAGCACATAGACAGGATGAATACTGATCATCAGAGGAGGCTTTGAGAGTGTAGTCTGAGGAAGGAGCTGGAGTCACTTTAACCTGTCAGTCAAACACACATGATTAGTGGCATATTTGATATGATTGGATAAGACTGAGTCTGAAATCTTACCATGATGCACTTGGACAGATAGTTGAAGACAGTGGCCTTCAGCTCAAATATCTCCCCACGGATGATGGAGTAAGGCAGAGAGAGCTCCAGGAAGAAGGGCTGGAAAACTGTCAGCTGAGCAGGAGGAGCCAGACCCAGACCTTTGGAGGACAGAGTGTCCCAAGAGGTGATAGTGTCAGGAACCTGAGCTGACATGTCCCTACCAATATTCAGCAGCTACCAAATTATCCCTAGCAATAATTTTGATCAAACAATTAAATAGCTGTATCCCTTCTAGCCTTAACGGAATAACAACGTGCAGTAAACAGTAAAACTGTTTGCACTACAAACCAGTGTGTTCATAATTGATAATACATTAAAATAATATGGTAAGACACAGCAGTTTTCAATATCAAGCAACGAAATTGCTGTTTTGTACAGCTAAATATAGCTGGATGCGGATGAGAGCAGAAGCTAGACCCATAAAATTTACAAATGTCCGCACCCGCTCTTACGGCAAGAAAAAGGTGGATATTCACAGATTTGAATTTCCCGGATCAGTAACTCGTGAGCTGAACAAGTAACACTTCTTTTCAATCGTAGTAACGTATACAATGAGCTACAACCGAATTTTCCTTGAATCGAGCCTTCCTCCGCACTGGACAAAACATATTGATCTCTATGCGCAGGCGGCGGAGAGAAGTCCAAAGGGACCCGATGCAAAGTGCAAAACCCCAAAATCATTACTACAAAAATAGTCAACAACTTCAATGTTACAAACTGTAGTGTCACTAAATTCAATTTACATATCAATGGTCTCTGGTTATCCTACATCACTTATTCTGAACAAATGTGCTTTTGCTAAATGTTCATATTTTATATAAAAAAAATAAAATAAAATCAGTAACTTTATACTGTTATTAAAAAATATTAAATAACTTTTTTTTAAATTTACTGTATCACACTGTACTATAACCAAATTCAGTGTACACATCAGTGCTCTCCTGCTGGTTTTATTACAACACTTAGTTTGCAAATAAATTGCTTTTGCATAGCTTCACTATAACACGCTTTACTGTCACCAAATTCTGTTCATACATCAGTGCTCTCCTGCTGGTTATACTGTAACACTTAGCTTGAAAAAAAATGCACTTGCATAATTTTTAATGATTTTTATTGTGAAGAATTCAAAACCATCACTGTTATTAGAAGGGGAAAAAATCAATAGTTTCACTGTTATGCAGTCAAATCCAGTTCACTGTTCTCCTTGGTTATACTACAATACTTAGTTGCGTTTGCATCATTTTTATGATTTTTTCAACTTTACTGAACTTCGAAACTTAAGCATTCCGTTAAAGAGGGGCTGGCACCAGTAACTGTGGAATTCGAAGTAGTCTATGGGTGCTTCTTATTTCTTATTCGTGCCTCCTTGTTTCCTTTCTTTGCTTCTTCTCCTCGCGTCTTAGTCCCCCCTTCTCCCTGGCTGCACCCGAAAGCTGAAAGATGCCACCTTCGGAGGATGCATTACAAAGTAGGAAAGCAATAAGGCATGTCTGAATCCAATGTCAGCTTCACTTCCTGTCTCCTTCACCTGATCGATTTTTGAAGGCAGCATAGATTTATAGAGCAGCATTTTCCTGGGATGCTCTGAAAACGTTACAGTTTATTGTACAATATTTTGGTGGTTTCATTATTTTTACAACATTAAAATGATTTATTTTCTATGATAAGATCAAACATGTTCTGTTAAAAGACAAGAACAAATTACAAACAAAATTGTGAGTGCCACTGAGTACACATTTGAAAATGCACATGAAATAAACCAATGGCACTGAAAATAACTGCTCATACTGTATTATGAGCTGCAGAATTGAAGGGCATGACCTCATTGACAGTGGAAGGAGTACTCTGTCTCAGACTGATCACCTGAAGGAAGAAGGTAACATCAACACACAAATTAATAGAAGAATAGAAGTGGTAACACTTTATAATAACTTTCATTAATAAATCATTTACAAACATTATGTACTGCTTAATGAATCATTAGTTAATATATATTCTCATATCTAAAAACGTGAAATAATGTGCTTGTTAATGTTTACTAATAAATGTATTAAACATTACCTAATAATTAACATTTCATGTAAATTAAAATGCTTACAAATGTCATTAAGCTTCTAATTCATATGATCATGCACATCTTGAAAATCTATAAATGATTTGATCAGTTCTTATACAATGAAACACAACACTTGCTGCTGTTGAGGTGTGATACGGGTAGAGTTAGGGACAGGTTTGGTGGTACGGGTAGGTTTAAGGTTGGGTAAGTGGTCAGCAGTGTACAGGGTCAATTTGATTACTATAAGAGAACACGATTCAATCTGTTTATATTGCATTGTTTTGATAAATTAAGTATTTTCGTGAAAATTGGTTTCCCCCCCTCCTGTTGATGTATGATTCAAGGAATATTCTGTTTAATGATTCACAATAGCATACTAATGTAAGTGTTGAGGCAATAAAAACATGCTTTGCACCCAAATCGCAATGTGTCTTTACCAAGCATTTAGCTTAACTTAACTAACAACCCTTTACACAAAAGTTGTTACAGTAGCTAAAAGTCCAGTGCCAATAAAGATGCTAAAAATATTAGTAAATGTTTATAAACATTTACAAATGATGAATAATCTAAACTTTTGATTGGGTACTGCAAAAACATGAATACATGTTTTGTGAAGATGTGAAAATAGGGTCCATCAAAATGAAAATAATTGCCATCGAAATGACTGCTCATAAAGGTACTAATGATCAGTAAAGGTTTATAAACATTTACAATTGATGAATAGTATCCACTATAGATTGGGTACTGCAAAAACATTAACAAATAATTAATAAATGATTTAAGATGTGCAAATAGTAGAAGTCTACACAACAAACAAAGACCAAATATATCACCTTTACAGACTGTGATTATGAGTTAATGAATATATTAACATGAATAGTTTGTGAAGTGCTTAAAATGAATAATCACGCTATATTTTCACAACATTTGTAAATGTAAAAATGAGCATTAGCTAATATGTGAACTGAAGTTTAATGACACTTTAAACTTAAACGGTATCTACCTTTACATTTTTCTGAATGTTAAAATAAAATCTTACTTGTTTGGTAGTAATCATACACTTTGACCACTGCTGGCTTGAGATTCTTCACTGGAAGAACTTGTTTCATTTGCATCTTGTAATTCATAGAAATATCTTTTGGAATCTGCAGGAGGATAAACAAAAATACATATACAGTAACAGTCATGGAAATTATTAAATACATGTTAATTTGATAAATGTTATTATTTATTTACCTCTGTTAAATAAACTATGACATGGTCTTCTTTTGTGTCAACCCGCTCCACATACTTCTGAGCAAGTACTGCTAAACTAAATGACGTTCTAAGCTATAGGGAAAATATAATTATTAATATGAAAATATGATGATGATGGTTTTTTTTTCTTTGTTTTTTTCCCCCTGTTTTTGCAAAGTAAAGCAAACATGCAAGGAAACAGTAGTAAAAACGTGTAAAAGTATCTACCTTTACATTTTTCTGAATGTTAAAATAAAATCTTACTTGTTTGGTAGTAATCATACACTTTGACCACTGCTGGCTTGAGATTCTTCACTGGAAGAACTTGTTTCATTTGCATCTTGTAATTCATAGAAATATCTTTTGGAATCTGCAGGAGGATAAACAAAAATACATATACAGTAACAGTCATGGAAATTATTAAATACATGTTAATTTGATAAATGTTATTATTTATTTACCTCTGTTAAATAAACTATGACATGGTCTTCTTTTGTGTCAACCCGCTCCACATACTTCTGAGCATACATTATTCCTGAACCAAATAGTGTTCTAAGCTATAAGGAAAATATAATTATTTATATGAAAATATGATGTTTTTTTTTCCTGTTTTTGCAAAGTAAAGCAAACATGCAAGGAAACAGTAGTAAAAACGTGTAAAAATTAGTATGTCTTAAAGTGACCCTATTATGGATTTTTGAAAATTACCTTTCATGCAGTGTGTAACACAGCTATAAGTGAATGAAAACATCCTGCAAAGTTTTAAATCTGAAAGTGCACCGTGTATAAAGTTATTGTCTCTCAAACGAAAGAGTAGACTCTGAATCATTGAAATGAGTCGTTTTTAAAAACGAATCCCAAGTCGTTTCATGTTGATGTCAACATGAAACATTAGCATATTGCCCGCCGCCCTCTTGTTGGTCTTTTCGTTGGTTCCATTCGGTCTGAATGAAAATGCAAATTCATTCTTTGCCACTAGGTGCCGCTTTTGGAGCAGTAAAAATAGCGGTTTCCCCAGCAACGGCTGTACACAAAGCAGCACTGCACTCACAAACGCTGCTTTTTCAGGCATTACAGTCATGATTGAAATGAAAATGAGACCAATCGGAATCACCGCAGATTAGCATCATGCAAAGGAGGGGTTTGGAAAAATGAATCATTGAGCGAATCGTTTGGGAGTCATTGAGCAAGTAAGGTAAAAATAAATGCATATTATAAGACAATGAAAGTGTTTTTTGACCTTGCATGCATGTCAACCTGTTGTTGGGGACTCCCAAAACCAAAATATTAACCTTTCATTACCCATAATAGGGGCACTTTTGATACACAATTACTTTATACACCCAAACGCACCATTGATGTATCAGCTGTGAATCCTGATAAGATTTTAATATCCACAATGAGCATGTTAGTTGTTTTCTGGGGACCACCGTACCTTAAAAAGAGAAAATTAACAGGCCTGATTTAATGCTAAAAACACAAAGAAACAGGAGCACAACGTATGCATTTAAACCAGCAGATGCATCTAAATTTTTTTTCTAAGTAATTACAGCATTTTACAACTGATACTACTGAGAAATAACTTTTCAGATTGTCAGTAATTTTAGGCATTCACTAAAGAGGTTTATACACCTTAAAACAAAACAGTAGTCATAATAATAATCTAAATCTGTTTTTACTTGACATTGAAGTTCAAAATGAAATTTTGTTCCAATGTTTTGCAATCTCCTTCAAACTTAGCATCAATGCTCAATGTTTTAGCTTCAGTAGGAGTGGGAATGTTGTAGAACTGAGCCACCTGATAGAGTCAACACAAACAAAAAAACATTTACAATCCATCTCACAGCAAAATAACCACAAAATGCTAAGAAAGGAAAGAGAGAGATTGAGTGTGAGTCAATGAGCTAAATGCACTACAGACCTGCACAGATCAAACAAAAACAATAGAAGAATTGCGGAGCTCAGCGTCCTTGCTGCCATTTGCGGCGCCATGCTGATGGGTGTTGCTGGCCATGGTGAAATGTGTTCAGTAATGTGATTTTTACCCGGTTGTCCTGATTGACATCAAAGTGGTGAGTGTCTGCTGCTGACTGTACAGTCACTGTGCTGGAGCCATCAGAGCTGAACACTTTGGTGGCATACAAAGACAGAGCCTGAAGAGCCACCACTGTGTCCTGAGAAATAAATGTGTTCAGTAATGTGATTTTTACCCATTATTCAGCAATCATGTGTTTGATTTGAGTAGTTTGAGTCACCTGTGTGGAGGAGAATCCTCCATAGGCATTCTGCTGCTTCACAAGCCAGCTGACAATCCTGTTAGCAAAGCCCAGATCAGCTGTAGTGAGTGAATCTGCAGTGAGAGCAGCTAGCAGCACATATGAGCTGATCTCCACTGCCAGAGAATCAGAGTCATCAGCAGATGCAGACTGAGACCAGTGGAGACGAGACCCTTTAGGACACATGGACAAAAGAGACACCAGTAGCTCAACGAGTATGAAAAGACAACAGAAATTAATCAGAAAAAAACTCTTACCCTCTGAAATAGCAACATCCTCCAGTTTCTTGAAAAGCTGCTGTCGAGTGTCCGTGTCTCTAGCCAGACTGAAAGTGTAGGCGAGCAGAGCAGTGATGTAAGTGTTTTTGACATCCTCAATGATGGACTTCAAGCATGATAAACCTTTAGTGACAACAGGATCCTGAGAAACAGAGAAACAGCCGCTGTGAGCATTATTTTTCTATGAGATTATACTGTTTCCTTACTTTACTTTACCAGATGAACTTACTGTGACTGGAGTTTCCAGTTCAAGCAGTGATGCAGTTATGTAGGCAGTCATGGTCACATTATCATTCACTCCACCCTGGAATATATATTAGAGGAACAAAGAAAATATTTTTGTGATAGAAGGGAATTGTTTCTGTGATAATGTTTAGTGATAACACACCTTCATTCTGTTGTTGAACAGTCTTCCCTGTTGGATAAAACAGCCGTCTGAATCCCGTCTGCTTATTAACCATTCCTTTGCACTCTGAATAATTTGTGGATCAATAAATATGTATTTCCGTGCTTTGCCAAAAGACCTCAGGACAAAGGCAGTCAACCTGTTGTTTGAAAGTTTTCATTTAAATAATGTCATTAGTTGTTTCAGTTGATTAAATTAGGCCTGTCAAACAATTAATTGCGATTAATAACATCCACAGAGTTCCCACTCTTTCATGAACACCAGATTCAAGGACTTTCAATGACTTTAAAGCACCATTTATTTTATATCAAGCACCTATAAAATTCACACCTCAGAATATGTAGTGTCATGAAAGACCTTACAGTACTTAACATTTCACTTACACTTAACATTTACATTAAAAATTTCAGAGTAATAATGTTTTGAATGTGTAGGTTTCATAAATTTAGACCGTTTTGAGCAGTCGTGTTCAAAGGAATTTAATGAAATCCATTGAAGTCAGTACTGGTGATAAAATTCAATTTCTAAAATATTGATAAAATATGCGTCAAACTGAATTTTGCTGTAGTTTTTGTACAAGATTTAAATTTGAAAGAATTTCTAAATTTTTAAATTAATAAAAAGTGGTTAAATGTTGTAATAACATGGTAAAACCTGTTAACATTAAAAATGTGCACATTTACTCAAAAGATGCGTTACTCATTAATAAATAAACTCAAGTCAAAATAATTTTGTAAATTACTTTTTATTGTAAATCCCATTTTTTCATCTTTGACCTAGGAATGCAGCTCAAACATGCAGCTGCTCAAAACGTCAGTATTTTTGAAAATATTTTATGAGCATTTATAAACCTTGTACATGTGCAAATCTGTAAAAAAAATATAAAGAAAAAAAAATAGGACTTTCTATTTGCTTTTAAACTGTAAACACTTTTCACTAAGCTGTTTTTCCAATTTTTCAAGTTCTACATTTTCTCCTTAGCTCCATGTTGCAGTACGTTTTGGGAGTTCATTTTTAGTCCATCTCCTATCCTGAAAAGTCTGTCTTGCAGAGACTGACAAAAATGAGCTCCTAAAACGTACTGCCAGATTCTGGAAGATCAATTCTTCAAACAGTGGTACAAGAGGATGGTGCTGGTTCTACAAGAGTCACTCTCAACTTATCTGTCCATAAAGCCTATAAAAATAGTCTTCATGTATTTCACAACACTTCAGAATGTTATTCTTATTAAGTAGGGGTCATTTTTAAGGATTTTTTTACCCAAGAAAAGTCTCTGAGAACCTGACACCTTGTAATTATGGAGACTCAAGGTTGCAGTTCTGGAAAAGAGTGGCACTGGAGACTAAAAGGTTCCTGATGGTTTCACACTTAATTCTTCATTCTTTTGCAGTTAACATGCTCTTTTCTTCTCCACCTGTTTTTTCTGACCCCGCTGACCCAATGAGCCTTTTGCTGACCAATGGTCATGCCTTAACTTTGAAATTTCTGTATTGCATTAGTTTTTAATATTTTTCATGGGGATTTAATCATTTTTGACTTCTCAGACTGAGTTAATTCTCATTTTTGGCTCATTTCATCTGTAAAAGAAAACCTGCCTAATAATTCTGCACACTTTAATAAGGAGTTTTTTATTTCCAGCCTTCATGTACAATTATATATCACTTCTAAATTATTAAATACAAAAATAATAGTAGTTATTAAGATTGATGTGGTTTGGAATTGGTCAAATGTGCTTGGAAAAAAATATGATCAGAATATCAATGTGCCTAATAATTATGCACACACTGTAAGATTGTGCGCATGATCGCGAAATCAAAAGTGAAAGTGAACAGCAAACGCTCATTCAAATGCGATTTCAATACCCTGCATATTGATAGCAGCTCCCTGATGTGCGAAAATAATATACAATATTCCGTCATCTGTCATCGCGTTATAAGTGCGGAACCTGCGGCAATGAGTACAACTGCTATTAATAGCCGCAATACCGCACCGAAATTCAAGTCCTGCTCTGTGTTCTCTGCTAATAACCCGACTGTGAATGATGTGAGCGGTGTCACATATGTTGTCACTGAGAAGCTGGAGCCGTGGCCGGGAATGATTTTTGGTGTGCTGGCAGAACAACAACAACAATGCGCTACATGTTTCTTTTCCCCCAAATTTTTTTTTCCAATTGACGGAAATCCGTCGTAGGGACGGAAATCCGTTGTAGGGATGGAAAACTTTAATCCCTACATAAACACAATTTATTTCAAATTTAATTCAAGCACTTTCAAGGACCTATGTTTGTTTTCAAGTACATTCCAGGCCTTGAATCCATATGTCTGAAATTCAAGTACTTTCAAGAAGCGTGGGAACCCTGCATCCAAAATAAAAGTCTGTGTTTACGTGTATGTACTGTGTATATTTATTATGCATGCATGTATATATTTAAAGCTGCAGTCTGTAACTTTTTGCAAGAAATAAAGAGAACCGAATGCATCTTGCGGAAGAACATTGTAGCCGGAGCTACTTTCTTTCTGTTTATGTCTATAATAAATCACGCAGATACTGGGGCTACTCTGCTGGAGTTACTATCAGAATCAGTCTAAAATAGTCTGAATATAAAAACTTATTATAGGTGTACTGTATTGATTCAGGATAAGCCAGAAACACGGTTTGGAATATGGATTCATGATCATTTATTATATACATTTTGTAAATTTTGAGCACAAAATAAGTTACGGACTGCAGCTGTTACATGTTTCTTGTGTGTGTTTTGGCCCTGTCTTCTGTGTGCCTTCATAACCTTAATAGCCCTTGTGTTTCACTTGTGCTTTGTCAGTTGTTGAATGTTATTGGTGTCATTTCTACCCGTACTTTGGTTCTTTGTTCCCAGTGTTTCCGGTTCACTTTGTCGTCTTATTAAACTACCTGCACCTAGATCCACACCTCAGCCTGTTTCCTCCAGCTACCCCACATAACAGAACAACCGACCATAACCATGGATCTAGCAGGTATGAAACTTAATCTCTTGCGCCAGGGCGAGCGTTCCCTCGTGGACCACACCCGTGAATGTTTGGACTTGGCATATCACACAGATGTTCTGGACAATTCTTCGATTTCCTTTTATTACTGTGGACTTAATGAATATCATAAATCACAACTTACCCTATTGTTGGTCCTCGAGGGAGTTTTCGTGATTTTGTGGAGCGGGCTTTGCAGCTGAGTGGTTCCCCCTTCACCATGGGTGAGGTGGAGGAGGATTTCACCATCACCGCTCAGCCATCTGTTAAACATTTTTTGGGGGAGCTAAGTTCCTCAAGCTCCGGCGAACGCGGAGCTTGGGCCATCACTAATGTTAACTGCCTACAATATCTCTGCTGCTGGACCCGACTTGGGGTGGATGAGACTGGTGTCCAGTACGGCGGACCCGCTGCTGACATCTGTGTGAGCAGCCAGCATCCCAAGGCCTTCACCAGCCATTACGCACACAAGCCCCCCAGCCGCTACGCACTTTATCTCACTGGCCTCAGCACTCTCAAGCCTGCCGGCCACTACGTACTCTAGCTCACCGGACTTGGCACTCTAAAGCCTGCCGGCCGCTACGCACTTTAGCTTTCCGTCCTCAGTCCTCTCAAGCCCCCCAGCCGCTACGCACTCTAGCTCGCCGGCCTCAGCACTCTCAAGTAGTGTTGCTGTCGTCAACGGAAATTATGACTAAATATCGTCGTCAACGAACCTTTATCACGTGATGAAAACGAGATGAGATGCAACGTAAATGCTGGTCATGTGACGATGACTATAATTAAATGTATAATGCAATATTGTTGATGAATAAATGTGGTTTACAAAATAAAAACTATGCTAAAATGTCTCTTCACTTTCGTTGACCAAAATGAGACGAAACTAAATGTTATAACATTATTTCATCTCATTTAGTCGCGTTATTATTATTATTTTGCAGTATTTCTGTTTCCTGTGTCTCACTTCAGGGGCTGCATCAGGTCGTCACTTCACTTCCTCAAGCCCCACTCGCGGCATTATTTAGAAACACTGCATCTATTATATAATATCCATTTCTAATGTCGCCAATAATTAGAGATGCACTGAAATTCTGGCTGCCAAAAATGAGTTCACTGCTCAGGTTTCACTTTCACGTGGTGTGACGCTCTGTGTATTATCCCGCTCTATGCGTGTGTGTGCTCCGCTCAGTCGCTCACGGCCCATGTGAGTGCTCCACTCGTATACTGTTCATGCTCATCAGAACAGCAAAGTCCACTCAAAGATCAAGCTGACAGAAAACATCTATGTAGTACAGTATTGTTTCTGTCTGCAATAGCCCTACTGTGCTGTAACATGGTGTGGTATATGGGCAACTCTGGTAACGCTGCCCTCTCATTCATTGATCTGCTAACCGTTACGCTCACGTGTCCTCTGATAATAGCTTTCTAGGATTAAACATTATTTGGATAATTGTTAAAAAAATTTTTTTTTTAAAAACTCTCTTAATAGCCCTACTGTGTGTTAGACCTACCCGAAAAACTAAAAAGCAATTTATTTAATTTGTAGGCCTATCGTGATTTTTTTTTAAATTTGTGCTATCATTAGTAATTTCTTTATTTGTTCTTATTTTATTATTAACTGCTTAGCCTCCTTGTCATTTTTTTATTCAAATCAAAGTTTTAAATCAAGCTATCTCGTGCTACTGCAACAAAATTACCCAACTGTAAAATCAAAAATACACTGAGTGAGTAAAACTTTGTTTAATTACCATTATAACTAGCTATCTCACAATGTTTACATATGAATACAAGCCTACATTAAAATATGTCATATAAATTGGTCTCTTCATTAAAAATTAGCTTACTGATTGCCACCTTTGATAGACACATTTTTTTAATAATATTAAAAATATCTGTATGACATTATAATCTGCAGTTCTTCCCTGTTGTACCGAATATCTATACTTTTCAAATTATCACATCGAAGTTAGAAATTCTAATATTGTGACAAAATTAATTTTGTAGGGCGCCACAAATTTGTTAAAATTTCCAAAGGGTGCTGCGACTAAAGAAAGGTTGGGAAACACTGATTTAGAAGACGAAAACAAAACAAAGTTAAGTCTGACACCGAGAAAGGGACCGATGGCTGGCCGGCCAGCCGGGGTTCGTCTTTATTTAAATTTGTGTGTGTGTATAATAAAATTTTATTTTGGATAATAAAAGTCGGTGATTACTTGCGATTAATCATTTGACAGTCTATACATAAATTGTTGAAACTAAATACCATCTATGTAAAGTAAAAATACACATTTTAACTTTGTAACTATGTAGGAAAAAAGTGAGAGTGAAAAGTTACAAATATTTACCATGTATTCTCATCACCGTATCCAAATGTGCTGTATGCACCACTAATATGTCTGTAGTTCATCTGTCTCTGGTATCCTGTTGAGTTCAAACATTCTGGGTTGATCAAGTGTTTCTGAAGTCAAATGTATTGTGACTTAATTTCTTAGTATTTCAGTATTCTCTTGACATGATTGATTTCTCTCACCGCTCTTAAGGAAGCCGGTGGCTCTCTCTCGGATGGCTGAGGTGAGCTGCTCTGTGTTTTCCAGATACTGCAGAATGTAAATATTGGGAGGAAGAACAGCCATGTTTTGTTCTCCACAGCCGTACGGCATCCGTAATAATCCGTGAAGATTGCTCAGTGCACGACCCAATATATCTCCTACAAACCAAACACCAATGAAACACTACATTTTAGAAACCCAAACAAAAACGTTTAATTCCTGCTTGCAGCTCAAATATCTCCCCACGGATGATGGAGTAAGGCAGAGAGAGCTCCAGGAAGAAGGGCTGGAAAACTGTCAGCTGAGCAGGAGGAGCCAGACCAAGACCTTTGGAGGACAGACAGAAGGCCTCCGTGTCCCAAGAGGTGATGGTGTCAGGAACTGTGACAGGAACCTGAGCTGATCCAGAGTCCCTGTGTTGAAATTACAACAGTATTTGATTAGACTTTTAAGATGTTGTTTTGTTTTTACAACATTCAGCACAGATATAAAACACTGATAATCTGATTCATAGTAGGTCTCTAGTATGTCTAATTTTCGTCAGTCCGAATGAATCCAATGAAAGTTCTGTTTATATGAACCCTAAACTTTGCAATCCAGTTCACATATTCGTTTACATGTGCATTTATGTATTCTGAACACAATCTCATTGCATGTGCAGTGCCAAGAGAAGCATTACAAGTATTGTGGTTTTAATATGATGTTAAATGATGTTGACAGATAACAACATTGTCACTAACCCAACTGCAGCAAGTTGCCAAATCCATGTTTCAGGAAAGACAGTACGAACTGTCACTTCAACAGATGAGTCTCCTTCATTCAAATCATGCGCTATACCAGTTCGACTGTAATAATTAAGCATCCCTACAAAAAAAGCACACGATATGATGTGATACCTAAATCAGAACAATTTAGTTTAGCAATTTAGTACAGAACTACTGTCTCATATCTCTGTCACATTATACACTTTCTGAAATATCTAAACTATATTCACAACATTGAGTTCACAACATTAAAACTACCTACAGTATATTATTTTTTAATGACATCATTTCAACCATGATGATATTCTCCCTTTTGCTGTTTATAGTTATTTAGTTAAATTTATTTTTTTGTAATATGCTAATAAATTTAAATCAGTTTTTTTTTTTTTTTATCAAGGGGCCTATAAATAATTTATAACTTTATGAATAAAGTTGAATTGAAAAAAAAAGCTAACATCAAATAGCGTGAAGGAACAGATACACTGTCAACAAAATACAAAGTATAATAATAAGTATAATAAGAATATAAAAGCCAAACTTAAACATATTGTCTTTATAAGTTCACACTTTTCTCACAGAATAAATTATCCTTTACATTTTGGGAGGTGTATCTCTTGCAATTATTACCTTGATGTCACAAATTTTGAGAACTGCTGATTTAAATAACTTTATAGATCAGACAAATGTCACAAAACAAAGAGTCATTTGTGCTCTTGCAGTGCCATTATTAAAAAGTGCTTAATAATGGTGAATTCCAGTCATATTAAATCGTTGATAGCAAATGCATGCATTAATGAACTCATAGATATTACCTTCAACTTCATATCTGTGATAAGTCAAGCCCTTGTATGACAGACACTTAGGGACTCGCACAGCCAAATTTGTAGCCATTTTCAGCCCCACACTCTGTCCAACAGCAAAATGAACCACATTAAATGTAACATAAATAAAATACAAATTTTTGTAGCTGTCAGAATAAGAGGAATTTTACACATATTAATCCACTTGTTACCTTTAAGGATTCATAGGCGTTGTCTGTCAGTACAGCTCGACGGGGTCTCACATGCAGACACGCCTGCTCATCTTCAACGCTGTAAGGATAATTTGACACTGATTGCACTGGCAGCAGGTTGAAGATCTGTAATGAGAGCACATTCACACTAAATAATTCGTGTCAGGGTACCTCTTAATCTTTATGTTGCGGTGGGAAAGAAAATTAGGTTTAAAGGGATAGTTCACCCAACAATGAAAATTACCCCATGATTTACTCACCCTCAAGCCATCCTAGGTGTATATGACTTTCTTCTTTCAGACGAATACAGTTGGAGTTATATTAAAAGATGTCCTGGCTCTTCCAACCTTTATAATGGCAGTGGATAGTTGTCAAGACTTTGAAGCAAAATAAAGTACATCCATCCATCATAAAAAAGTACTCCACATGGCTCCAGGGGCTTAATAAAAACTTTCTGAAGTGAATCGATGCATTTGAGTACGAAAAATATCCATATGTACAAATTTATAAACCGTAATCTCTAGCTTCCGCTAACTGTCGTACGCACATTCACAAGAGAGTGGCGTTCCAGCGGATGATAGCTGTAGCGTAAGCTCCGGTGAGAATATGCTAGTCTCTCAAGGACTAAGTTTTGTTCACAACAAAAGAAAACCAGTCTCCTCTTGGCTTATATCGAAATCCTATGACAATTTTGTTTACAAATCCTCATTTTGTACTTCTAATTTATGACCAGTGTTTTGCTTTTGTTTGACACATGCACGACAGTTTGCGGAAGATAGAGATTACGGTTTATAAAGTTGTAAATATGGATATTTTTCTTAAACAAACACATCAATTCACTTCAGAAGGCCTTTATTAACCCCCCGGAGCCATGTGGAGTACTTTTTATGATGGAATGGATGCACTTTATTTTGCTTCAAAATCTAGACCAGGGATCCTCAAATCTGGCCCACGAGATCCACTTTCCTGCAGAGTTTCGCTCTAACCCTAATCAAACACACCTGAGCAAGCTAATCAATGTCTTCAGGATCATTAGAAAATCACAGGTAGCTGAGTTTGATCAGGGTTGGAGCTAAACTCTGCAGCGCATTGGCCCTCCAGGGCATGATTTGAGGAACCCTGATCTAGACCATTACCCACTGCCATTATAAAACTTGGAACAGCCAGGATATTTTTAAATACAACTTTGATTATATTCGTCTGAAATAAGAAAGTCATGTGTATATCATGGGATAATTTTTGGGTGAACTATCCCTTTAACACCCATGTCACCTTAAACAATAATGATGATTATAGTAGACAAGATTCATATATTCCAACTATGGAGACACAGATAATCAACATTGAATCTTAAAGCATTTACACCTTGTCAGTATCCAGACGTTCTCCTGGCTTCAGGATCAGGACACTCTTATCTACAGCACTGAGGCCGCACAGTGAACCAGGCTGAGCTGAGAGCTGGAGAGTGTTTTTCTCACCAGGAACTGCTTTAGCAGGAGAAAACTGCAGAGACACCTGTGACGACAACAGTAGGGTGTGTCATTTTAGTATTGAACCAGAATGACCGTGATTGTGTAAATGGGCAGATTATTTTTACATGCCTTGTTTTTGAAACACTTTTCAATGTCAAATGTTGTGCTACGAGCAACAACATTTTCACTGGGCAGAACACAGTAGGTCAGAATCTGCACTGCAGGAGCCAGATCTGCACCAACAGACAGTTTGAACGACACTGTGCCACTTGCTGCTCCATTAGAAGACTTCACTTCAACCTTCTCATATCCATGATGAACGATCACTCCTCTGGACACGACCTGAAACAGACAGATGACACTCCAATGACAAACTGACCAGTGCAGCCATACTGTTAACAAACAATGAATTCAACAGCGTAACAATGTACATACTGCACATTCTCACCATATAGACAATGTCAGTTTTGAAGCCTTCAACAGTCTCTCCAACAAAATAATACTTGATGGTCACTGTAAACTCAGCATCACACTGTAATGGTTGCTCAATATTTTCTATAATCAGTTCACTTAATGTTGGGGTGTATGGAGTGGCAGCCCGGAAAAGCTGAACTGTTTTACTATCCGTAGAGAAGAAAGGTGTTTTGTAACCATGATAATGAAATGCTGGATACACACTTGCCTGGAAAAAAAAAAAAGAATGTGCCAATATTTTCATGTAATCAAAACATTAACTGATTAAACACTTGGTGGATGAGTAGCAATTATCATACCATCAGATTAATATCTTTTTCAGGAAGACTAGACATATTAAGAGAGAAGCTGGCCAGTCCATCACTGTCTGTAGTGAGATTTAGGAGCAGTTTTGAGGACCAGGTTTCACCCTCCAAAAGATAAACCACTTTGTTTTGTATTGGTGCGCCTTTGAAATTTGAGAGTTTGATCTGTTAAAAATAAGATTTTGAAGGAATAAATGATTCTGTACATAGCAATGCTGTTAAACTGAGACAACCTGATCTTAGACTTACTTTTCCTTCTATAACTGATCCATGTTCATATGTTTTGGGCAGGTCAGTAAGTGTGCATTTGCCAATTTCATAAGTGAGAGATATAGTTTCAGATTTTGTCATGGTGATCTCTGTAAAATACAAATAGATGATGAGTGTGAAAATTACATTTGAATGAAATCAGATTTTAAAACTCTCATTTCAGTAATTAATAGCTCACCTGTTCCTTCTTCTGTGACTGTTGCTTCAACATGAAGAGAATTTTCTAGTCGATCATTGTATGTTGAGTTTAAAAAGGTAGATATATCTAAGGTATGGATGGCACAGCCTGTCTTTTTCATCTATTGGAAATGAATGAACACAAACACAGTGCCTAAGAGTGACTTAATAATCTGGATGTAGGAAATAAATGTCACATTTTGGTACTGCACTGACAAACCTCAGTGGTTTCATTCACACATATTGGACTGTGTTCGTCACGCCTGTAAGTGTAGCGTGGAATATCACGACACACTTTCACCCATGATTTACCAGATACAGACTGCCCGTACGTGTATCTGTGAAAAATGTACAAGACAAAGATGGATGGAAGAAAACAATCCTTTCTTTATGCTTTTAACACGTTTAAGTAAATATGCTACTCACTTTCCACAAACCTCAACTGCCATTAACTCATCATCTATGCTCACTGTCTCTGGTGCTGTAACAGTAACTTCAAACTTAGGCAAAACTAGAGGACGAAAGTTATAGTTATTATTAATCACATTTTGACTTTGTATGAAATTTGTCCCATGCAAACATTGCAAATAGTTTATTACTTACCATATTTTTTCACCTCAAAATCATGTGAGATCATCCGGTCACCAATATAAGCCTTCAGTCTGTACACACCTTGATGGCTTTCCGGGTTTAATTCATAAGAACGCTCCAAAATCCAGCTTGTTGAAGAAACATTTGTCCATTGACCAATTCTGTTACCTTTACTGTCCTATTTAATACCAAACACAAAGTGCAGGTAGTTACAGCCAGCTTTCATATGTTCTGATCAATAATAAAGAAATACAGAATAATTACAGAAAACACAATGCAAAAATCAGTCAGTGCCAGTGTTGTGCTCGTCATGAATGACTGTACAGAAGGAGGTTTTGTGTTCTTACCTCAAGTACCACTGTACTATACTGTAAAAAAGCAAATAGTAATTAAATAATTTTTAAAACTGATATGATTAAAAGCCAACAACATGTTTGTGTGTTGGACATATTTAAAAATAAAGAAAAGAAAAAAAACACATGCCAGACCTGCTGATCAAGCGGCGAAAAGTTTTTATCCAGGGTAACAACTCTAAAATTCACTGTGAAAACAAAAATGTGTGATAAATATAATTACAATCCCTGTTTATATTGTGATAAGCAGTATTTCAGATCTAATGGACAGTAAGCTGTAGCTATTCCTGACTGTAGCATCCAGTTTGTCCTGAACAGAATCCTGGGTTATCTTGCTAAACATTTTACGATGCTCATTCACTCAAAATTATAGGTCTTCTTTATCTTACATTTCTAATTCCTGGGTTTAATGTTCTATTTGTATTTTTGAAGAGTCAGTGTCATTGACTGCACGAATGTACTAACATGGCGACCTGTTTACATAAAGGCTCCAGCACTGCGCAGCCTCGTTTTATTGCAAACTGTACTATCAGGTTTTTCCTGAATGGACTTTTAGGTGGACTAAAAGATAAGAATAAAACACACTCTTCCTCAAGTTTTTTCCATCATCATTTGACATTTTTAATCTCAAAAGCTAGAACGACTGTTTATACAGCACACGGTTTTCCATTTTGTTTTTTCCATGACAGAGATATTTTAACACTGCATCGTTTTACACTGTACATGTTTGACATCACAAAGCCGGGTTAATATCAAACTGTGATGCTCAATATATTGTTTACTAAAATGTAGTTTTGTCAAGGAGGGGGTATAGGCCTATATTTGATGACACCAGCAGTATTTACAGTTTTTTAACCTTTTAAACATTCACAGCTCACCTGTCTGTCCTGGAATATAAATGGGTTTATCAGTCTGGATAAAGGTCAGAGGATGGTAAGATCTGAACATGACTTTTCTCTCTTCAGTCATCTTGAAAGACTCTCCTTGAAGTTCTACCTTCATTCTCTGCACTGATTCTGCTTCTACCAGAGGAGCCTGATGAGAAATAATATCCTGTATTCACAACCTCTGCAAACAGGCCATCTCAAAAAACTAGATGAATTATGATGAAACAAACATATTTGAGTATATTTATTATAATGTGCTGATGACAGACCTTGAAGTTAAAGCAGCGGTGAAACTCTTCCTCAGCTTTCTCCTGCAGCATTAAAGTGCTCTGGTCACCATGAACCACATAAATGTTCATGACAAGGCTTTCATTGGGCTTGAGAAGACTTGCACAAAGTTTGGCCTCAGATCCCGACTCGATCACTGCAGGAAATGTCACCGTGAAAGATCTGTAAAGATATAATAAGGCATTCAATCATTTAAGTAGTAAGATATCTTTTTTTTTTTTACATTTTCATGAAATGCTGAAATGGATTTTATTGCAAAACATCAAAGTTAATGTGTTGATGTAGTTTCCCCTTTTTAAAATGAGAAAAAGTGACAGACGATTTATATAGAAATTAAAACGAATAGAAACACTTAGTTACTTACGGCCCTGACGTTTGTCCATTGACACAGACAAGAAGGAGAGAGAACAGAAGGAGCCATTTCCAACAGCAGTTAATGTTCAGATCCATGATGACGAGTGATCAACCAGGTCTTGACATGAACTGAGCCGTCTCTTATAAAGGGAGTCTCATGCTAAAGGTGGTCCTTCAAAAACATTTGTATTGATTGTTTGATTAATGATTCAACCATGTAGGCAATACCATTTGAAAACCTCTACAATATTAGCACTACTAAAGCCTAAAAAATACATCTGTGCTACAGTAAATATTAAAGTATTATTTATGCAGTAAAATATAGATGACACATTATGTAATAATAACTTATACAGATATTTACAAAACATATTTTACAGTTTAACAACTCAAAGTTTGCAATGATTTTATGCTGCCATTATACGAGGAAATGTATATGTATTTTTATATTGTATTTTATATTGTTTTTAGTCATTCACAGCCTATAGAAAATGGTAAAATATACACATCATCATCATCTGAACAAACTATACACACACACAAAATACCCCTAGGGCTTCTGAACTCTTTCCAATGTCAACAAACAATACTGAAATCAAGGGTCAAGAATCACCTACACCCACTCAGAGTAAATGTTTCTTCATATCTGCAAATCCTTTGACCCCTTCTAATATGGCTTCTGAAACCTCAGCTCATTAAAATTTATAAATCTGTTAATACTCAAGATTCTACACCATGAAGATTTTTCCATGTTTGTTTGTTTGTTTTCCGTCTAGGATCTTATTTGTAACATTGGGATGGATATGCAGATTGGCAGATGCCACACAAAGACAGGAAAAGCGCAAGGTTTGACAAACCTTCTCATATATTATTGTGAGTTCTTCTGGTTTTTAGGAATAATAGTATTCTCTTTATTACTTGAGAGTGATGGGATGAGTAAAGTTTCTATGGAAGTCTGTTTCCACCAATGAATAAAAACAAAAAAAGGTAATTGTGAATATTATCTCATAATTATTTTTTTCTCACAATACTAACTTTTTTTCAGAATTGTGTGATATAAACTCACAATTGCGAGTTACAAAATCAGAATTGTGAGATATAAACTCTCAATAAAATCTTGCAATTGTGACTTTTATTTCTCAGAACTGCGAGTTTATATCTTAAAATTCTGAGAAAAAGGCCTGAATTGTGTGATGTAAACTCACATTTGCGAGAGAAAAGTCAGAATTGTGAGATAAAAATTCACATCCTGAGCAAATGGTGACCAATTGTAGAATGGGAATAGGTGTGGGACACCGAGAATCATCTCAGACAATGGGGTGTCAGAACTTCATTATCATACAGACCACAGCTGTTACGACAGGAGCAACTTCATTTACATTAAGGGTAGTAAACTGTAACCGTAACTGTATAAAACAATGGTTTGAGGGTTCATTCTGACTCTGTTGAATCCAAGGTACTAAATGTACATTGACGCTGCAATAAACAACTCATCATTTTTTCTTACAGTATCATCATAAAACATCTGATTCTGAAATATAATGTTTCTGTTACCGGCCTCAGACCTAGGGGATATCTGGGCCAGCAGCAAATGATACACAGGCGTTATGCACTGTGGATCGATGAATAAACTGTGAAAAACACGAGAGGACAGAAGTTACGTCTTTCCACAGCGGCAGTCAGTTAATTTATTACTGCAATAATTTTTCTTTCAACATTAACAAAATTCAACATTTCAAAACTCACTCAACTCTTTGTATTACACATTTCGATTTACACAAGTACAATGAATGAACATTTTAATTAAATATATTCATACCTATGAAAAACACGAGAGGACAGAAGTTATGTCTTTCCACAGCGGCAATCAGTTTACTGGGCCCGCCGACCAGGGTAAATCTCTCACGTCTTTCACTAGTGCCCGATGCGCCATCTATTGGCATGGCGGTGTAATGCCAGAAAGATATACTGTTTTACCTTAAAGGGGTCATATGATGCGATTTAAATTTTTCCTTTCTCTTTGGAGAGTTACAAGCTCTTGGTGCATAAAGAAGATCTGTAAAGTTGCAAAGACTAAAGTCTCAAATCCAAAGAGATATTCTTTATAAAAGTTAAGAGTCAGCCACCTACCTAAAACGGCTCGTTCTAACATGCCCCCACATACCTACGTCACTATCTGGGAAGATTTGCATAATGCCACCCAAATGTTCATGCAAAGAAAGAAGGCGTAACTTTTATTCTCGTATTGTTGCTGCCGCCGCCGCTGCCATGTCGTTAAGGCGCTGTGTGCTTCGTTGTGAAAGCGAAACTACTTTGTTTGTCCTTCCAAAAGAGGACGATATCGCTTCAGTCATGCCTGGAGCTGATCCGTGCTGGTCGGTGAGGAAATACTTCAGTCGTCGACAGGGACCAAGAGGCTCGAAAACAAGCGGTGGCATTTCAGCGGTTCCTTCCTCGCCGTATTTCAGCTCCGGGGGCTGCTGGGCGGCAGCAGTCCCCACCGCGTACCAGCTCCTCACATAGGGAGACGCAAAAACAGAGCATTGCCGCCCGTGTTCGGGACCGGAGGCAGAAGCAGCGCTCTGGGTTGGGGGCCTCGAAGCCTAAGCCGGATCTGCGGACCGTCCTTCATGCGAAGAGGTCCTCGACCAAACGGTCCTGACTATTTCAGTGTAGGACTAGCGAGGGCAGGCCCTTCTGGGGCAGAGAGGGTCACACCGCATTACACGGTGCCCATCTCCCCCCAGTGCCCTCGGGAGATCGTTCTGCCAACCCTACCGGTGTTCCAGGGCGCAGTGGTCTCCAGCGAGCATGATGGGGGGGTTGCGTCCCATTTTAGATCTGTGCCTATTGAACCGCCCAGTCATGCGACTGAAGTTCAGAATGCTCACACTCAGACAAGTTGTGTCTCAGATCAGGTCCGTGGACTGGTTTGTCACGATCGATCTGAAAGACGCGTATTTCCATATCTCCATCCTTCCTCATCACAGGAAGTTCTTGAGGTTCGTTTTTGGGGGCAAAGCGTACCAATATCATGTTCTTCCTTTCGGCCTTGCACTCTCACCCCGTACTTTCACGAAGTGTGTGGATGCTGTTCTGGCACCGTTGCGACTCCAGGGCATCCGCATACTCAGCTACATCGACGATTGGTTGATTTTAGCTCGTTCAGAGCAGATAGCGGTTCGACATCGAGATGTTGTTCTCGCTCACATGAGAGAGTTGGGGTTAAGACTAAACGCCAAGAAGAGTGTGCTTTCTCCATTACAGAGAACCACCTATCTGGGCGTGGTGTGGGATTCGACCACGATGCAGGCATGTTTGTCTCCTGCTCGGATCGAGTCGATCCTCACTACAGTCAAGAGAGTGAAAGAAGGCCAGTCACTCACTGTCAAGCAGTTTCAAAGACTGCTGGGTCTGATGGCAGCCGCGTCCAACGTGATTACTCTTGGCCTGCTGTACATGAGACCCCTGCAGTGGTGGCTCAAGACCAGGGGGTTCTCCTCGAGGGGAAACCCGCTTCGCATGTTCAAGGTCACGCGGAGATGCCTACGTGCCTTAGACATGTGGAGGAAGCCTTGGTTCTTGTCTCAGGGCCCGGTGCTGGGAGCTCTTTTTTGCCGCATGACGCTAACGACAGATGCATCCCTCACCGGTTGGGGTGCGGTCATGAGTAGCCACCCTGCCCGCGGTCTGTGGATTGGTCGCCATCTGACTTGGCAAATCAATTGTAGACCCCTGCAGTGGTGGCTCAAGACCAGGGGGTTCTCCTCGAGGGGAAACCCGCTTCGCATGTTCAAGGTCACGCGGAGATGCCTACGTGCCTTAGACATGTGGAGGAAGCCTTGGTTCTTGTCTCAGGGCCCGGTGCTGGGAGCTCTTTGTCGCCGCGTGACGCTAGCGACAGATGCATCCCTCACCGGTTGGGGTGCGGTCATGAGTGGCCACCCTGCCCGCGGTCTGTGGAGTGGTCGCCATCTGACGTGGCATATCAATTGTCTGGAGATGCTGGCCGTATTTCAGGCATTGAAACACTTTCTCCCAGACCTGAGAGGTCACCATGTGTTGGTGTGCACCGACAACACAGCGGTGGTCTCATACATAAACCACCAGGGAGGTCTGCGCTCGCATCGTTTATACAAATTGGCACACCAGATCCTTCTGTGGTCCCAGGAGAGGCTCCTCTCGCTGAGAGCGATGCACATTCCTGGGCATCTCAATGTGGTAGCAGACATCCTGTCGAGGCAGGGGCCGAGGCCCGGGGAATGGATGCTTCACCCCGAGGTGGTGAAGCAGATATGGAGTATTTTTGGCCAGGCTCAGGTGGACTTGTTTGCGACTCAGAAGACATCGCAATGTCCCCTCTGGTACTCTCTGACTCATCCAGCTCCGTTGGGGCTGGATGCCATGGTGCAGGCGTGGCCGAGGCTTCGCCTGTACTCCTTTCCCCCGATCGCTCTGCTCCCAGGAGTTCTGGAGAGAGTGCGCCAGGACGGAGTCCGCTTACTGTTAGTAGCCCCATTCTGGCTACTAACAGAGGGGCTGCCATTTCCCTTCTCGAAAGCTCTCCATGGGTGATTCCCGTCAGGAGGGACCTCCTCTCACAGGCGGAGGGCACGATATTTCACCCCCGCACGGAGCTGTGGAAGTTATGGCTCTGGCCCCTGAGGGGGCACAACTAGTAGCTTCCAGTCTCTCAACTGAGGTTGTTGAGACCATCCTCCAATCCAGAGCTCCCTCCACGAGGAAACTGTACGCCTGGAAGTGGAAGCTTTTCACTTCCTGGTGTAGACACCGCCAGCTCGACCCAGCTAGCTGCCCAGTTGGTACAGTACTGGAGTTCCTGCAGGCCCGGTTTTCTACAGGGTTAACCCACTCCACCCTGAAGGTCTACGTGGCGGCCATTGCGGCCTACCACGTCCCTCTTGGTGGCATTTCAGTGGGGAGACACTCGCTGGTTACACGTTTCCTCCACGGTGGGCTGAGGCTGAGGCCTCCAGTACGATCTTGTGTCCCTACATGGGACCTAGCAGTGGTGCTAGAAGCTCTCTGTAAGCCTCCATTCGAACCTATCGAAGAGATTTCTGATCGCCATTTTACAATAAAGGCTACCTTTCTGGCAATATCTTCTCTTAAGAGAGTGGGGGATTTACAGGCCCTTT